TATAACATATGTACATGAATTAGCACTCTCTAGCAATCCTGAACAATTAATCTGAATAAAAACTTTTAAACTTACATTACTAACTTGCTGAATGAAAGTACTGTGATTACTAATAATAATTTCTGAGCATGTGTAGTTTTGCATTTTATTGAAGAAAGCTAGAGAGCGCTTATGGAAATACATACTAAAAGATTATTTAGTTTTTAAAGTCAAACCCAGCAAATACAGGGAATCATAAATTTAAAATTCTCAATATTTACTTTTTCTCCATGTTGGTATGTGCTTTGTGTTATTTCAGACAAGAGTCCGATGTCAAAGACACATTATTGCCCAATGAAGACTGATCTTTGTGTACACATACAATGAATGTCTAGCCAGGGACACCATGGAAATGGATTCCAGTCTGCTACTTGCATATTCAAACATTTAGCTTGTATATATTATTCTGTCACCCTGCCTGCAATCAATATTCAGCTGCACAATCCACTGTTATCGCTACACTTCTTCATGTTGATAATCGACCTTTGAATATCAATTTTCTCTTCCCTGGTTACACAGACCACAGCAGCTACTTGTTTCTTTTTGTTGGTGTTCTCATTTTCCCTATAGCTAAAAGTTTACATGAAGTTCTCTTCATGTTTCGCTCGTTGTAATCGCTCCCCCCTCTCCCCCCTCCCCCGCTTCCTCTGTTAGGAAACTTTGAGGACAATTAATATTGGAACAGTTAGCCAAGAGAGATTGTTTGGTCTCATCTCTATTAACCAAACTACACGTTCAGCCCAGAGATGTTCTGGTGATTTTATTCTAACGCTTGATTCTTCACAGTACGTGGTGGGGCACTGTGGAAGGCATTCTAATGAGGAGCTAGTGGTTCCAGGCACAAACTAGGCAGAGGTTAAGCACATGCCTTGGTGGCAGAGATGTGTATGTTAGTACGGGCAAGCACTATGTAACCTGAGCATACACCATGGTGTTAGTATGCACTGCCTTTAACAATGCCACCTGTGCGTACTGCTTGTGAGAGCTCGCTCCTCTGCAGATATGTGAGAGCGCAATGCTCTCAGCAAACTGCAGGGTACCATCTAGAAAGCTCAGTATTGCACGGGTTTGCTCATTTGGGAAAATACCTTATATACATTAAAAATAGACATGACTTTTTTTTACTAAACTACATTTATTTACTAAATGGGTTTTAAGTAAATTTTTATGAACTCTATTTTTTATGAACATTATTCTCTTCCATTTGTAGTTAATTTCTGAAGTATCTAGTAGTCTTTCTTCTGCTTAACAAATGGTTTCCCTTATAAAAAGAGATTATTAGTATAAATTTGACTTAAAAAATTATTTGCAAAATAACCAGTCTTCTCACATTGTACTTCCCTCTCTGCTTCCTCTAATAACCAACTTTAAAAATAACTCTTTTGTTCTATACTGTTCTATTTATTTAACTTATCACTAGCTACTGCTATTGGCTTGTCATCAGTCTTGTCCATGATCTTCATCTGGCTTAACAATCCTTTTTTTCTTGTTACTTCTCTCAAATGCCAATCCTCTAACATCATATATAATTTGTCTCTCTTAAACAGCCAAATTATCACCATGTCCAAAGAGTATAAATCAGCGTATTTCAATTCATGCTTGTAACTTCGCAGTAGCGACATTAACCACAGAGCACTGGAGAGAGTTGACTCTCTACGGCAGCCTCATCGGACTGCCAGGCGGTGCGGGTGTCTCCCTGCAGGCATCTTTCTTTTGTAACCCACAAACACGTCTGCCCCACCCCAGTAATTCCACCAGGCTTCTGGATACTTCATTGCTTTCTAAAAGCCATCTTGACCATATGCTTTCTTAAATCTGTAACAATTGTATTGGCACTGTATCCCTGTGCAATATAACACAGAGTGTAACAGCCTTATACAAAGGGGCCTCTGGATGGTGGAAGTAGCCATTTAGCAGAGCTGGAAATGACCAAAACAGACACCTTTTATGAAAAAAATCCCAATCCACCACTGTAAAAAAAGTAGAAAGCATTTCAGCGAACTCCTTAGCGAACGGCTAGACAAAAGCACATAGCAAATGGACATTTTTGAGCTAGCTGAGATGTTTGTGGAAGAATTATTTTGTGATTCGAAAAAGAGTCAGAATCCTCAGGAGCAACCAACAACCAGTTGCTTACAATGTTTATAGGGAATTATTTAAAAGGGAAGATGATAAGGTAAATCAAAACCTTTGCTAATTAGTTGCATTGGAGAGCTGAAAACATTTCCAAATGGGCAACACAAAGCAGTCACATGATCATCTGTTATAAACAAGTGGATGGTGGCTTCATCCCCATGACAATCCATCTGTCTGGTATTTTCTAATTTTACAAAGTAAATCCAAAAATAAAAATGAAATTTACAGAAAAATAAGTCCAGTGTGTATCTAAATTTTTGTTTCATCAACCATTCTAAACTGTGCATCACATTACTAGTATTTGGAACAATTAAAATAAAGTGTGCTGTATTACACTATCTCTGCTAAACAGGTGTGCCACTAGGAAAAGTCCTGAATAAATGGATCTTGGCATACCAGTATCTGTGTAGGACATACTGTTGAGGCTGCTTCATTAAGGACATTTCAAAGATGAGGTTGTTCACATCATACTGCTTAAGCAACAATAAATAAAATGCAAATACCCCACATAATCATGCATAACATTATCAATACTTTAAATCCTCCTATCTTTCCTACTTGTTAGAGAAAAAAAAATGTCTACTTTTACTGATGCCTAACATGCAGTGTCTAAATAATGTCTCTAGAGAATATAGGCTGTTGCCCAGGGCTATTTTATTTCACTGCTTAAAGCTAAAAATAAAAGCATTTATGTCACTCTTTAGGTTTTGAAATCCCCATTAAGCATACTCTTTAGTCTGAGAAACCTGCATGAAAAGAACCATCATTTTTTATTTTAGCTCCATTTTAAACAATTGGTAGGATTTGTTAATGTGAATATTATTTGAAGGAAAATAAGGATTTATAACATTTCAGACTGCAAGAAGTCAAAACATCTTTTGCAACAATATTTAAGTCCTTTTAATAGTGTTTTATTGCTCTCCCTGTCTGGCATGTAAATTTGAAATCTCCCTATCATGTTACCTTGCTTTAACCTTTTTTTTCCATTCTTCCGTCTTTTTGCGTAATTAACTTTTCTTGATTCTTAACTAATCTCCTTTCCAGTCTTTCAGACAAGGGTAAAAAAAAATCAATGACGTTCTAGACTGAGCTTTTCGCTGACTTAACCAAATGACAGTGTAATCATTGCTAGCCCACTTGGTACCTATCTGAGCATTTTATATTACTCTGCTTTACCTTTCTGCTCACCCCTTCACCCTGAGACAGAATCTTCCTCTGCATGTCCCGCAATGATGACAATGAGCTGTTTGAGTCCCTGTCTCCCTCCCAACTCTAATTTTCAATCATGTTATTTTTTTCACCTAGCTATCTAAGAGCACTCTTCCATGATGGCATTTCTCAAATTATTCACCTCAATCTTTAATTCTGCCATGTCACTAATATATATGATGTATACAAATAATGAATACTACTTCTAACATTAAATGATGGGACTCGTCTGTCTTATCAATGTAGCAGAAAATTATTTTATTTATACCTTTCATTGCAAATTTCTGAGGTGATTCCTAAATGTTTAGCACACTCCACGGGACTTACTAGTTTTCTTAATTGCCTTCGTTAAAGAACTTTCTCAAAAGCTTTTGAAAATCCAAATAAATTAGATCAAGCATTTCTTCCTCATCCATTATTTTCATGACATGTTCAAAGAGTTCTAACAGATCAGAGAAAGTTTTTTTTCAGAAAAGCTACCCTGGTTTCTTTTAGCAGAATTTACTCTAGAGTTTTGCTCATAATTCTATGATTGATGATGTATTCAATCCATTTAGCTTATACTGAACTCAGACTAACAGGCCAGTAGGATAAATCTAGTTTGTAGAAAAAAAGCAACAAAAGCAAAACAATAGCCAAATTTTAACATTCAATAGGCAATTAAGTGCTAATAAAATTTGCACCAGCTGAGGCTCTTCAGCTCCTTATAAACCTTGCTTAGAGCCAATCAGCCAGTTGATTCTGGTTTCTTTTTAGTATTTATCTTATAATCTCCTTTAATTGAGTCTATTTAATATAATATCTCATTTTTACTATTTAAAAGGATAGATATTTAATTGCATTTTCTGTAGCAGAACCCGTGTAAATAAATCTTTCAACTTACCTGTAACAATTTTTTTTAAAATCTACTCTTTAAAAAACAACAGGTGTGCTGATAATTTCATGACGTTTCCTGCTTATGATGTCATTGAAAAATTCTTTACTATTTCTTTCATGTTAAGCTATAAGTCTTCAGACTGCTTCTTAGACTACACATTTTCTATCTTCCATTTCTCCTGCCATAATGTGTGTTCTGTTTCAACAGTTACACTTGGCCTGAATTTACCTGGAAGAGGCTACATTTGAGGTCAAATAAAACCTTATCCCTCGCAATTCTTTGCATTGATTTTTTAATATTTTGCTTAATAATCTGAGGCTGACTTTCCATTTGAAATCCTATTCATGTGTTAATTCAAAGAATTAGTATAATTAATTTCAAGGTCACAAAAGGACATTCACGTATCTACTTACCTTAATTACAAGGACTGACAATGGGACATCCAAATATTTTTATGTATAACAAAAATTTTACAACTCAATTATTAACAATCTCAAAAAATAATACAAGAAACAGTGTCAAATTTTATAACTGTATTTTTACACCAATGATTTTGTTTAGGGATTGTTCACTCATGTTCAGCTTTTGTTACATTTAATTTTTTTGTCAGACCAATTCTCATTTTTCCCAACCATATATTCTGTCTATATCTCCTCCTGCCCCAGCAAATTAGAAGATATATTTTTGGATGTTCTATAACAGGTTCATTTACAATAATTTGATTTTATTATTTTCCTACCAGAATAAAATGATCCTAATGTTTCCTTTCTTCCAGAAAGCTCTAGCAGACTTTCCCCAGTCTGGGTAGGGTTTGTCTTGAAGCATCATATCTGTGACCTACAGGGAAAGAAGAAATAATATATAGGTAAACTGGTGTCACAAAAGAAAGTGTTAACAAGCAGTTTAAAAACGCTTTGGTTTACATGTAACACACCTGCTTCAGTTCTGATAATTTTACAAGTTAGACATTAGAAAAATTGTATCTCTAATGTTATTTGCAATCAAGATAAAGTCTATTGGCCTACATATTCTGCCTTAGAAGTGCACGCCAACTCACTGATAAGCAAGGAAAACTATGGAGATGGAAAGATAAGAGGGGAAGAGGAACCAGTCTAAAAGTTACAGCAACCTGTAGCACGTAAGCTACGTTTGCCTATGGCTACAAGGCTTTCTGGTCCAACCCGTGAGAGGGAACCCACTTCTCTGCAAGCAGCATCAGCAGAATTTCCACTCTTGAAATTGGAACTGCAGCCAGGGAGTACAAGCCCGTGAATTAAGCATTATATATGCCATTTATAACCTCCTCTCTCTTCCTGGTATCAGTAAGAAAAGCACACTTGGGACTGGAGACATGAAAATCTCTTAAAACTTGCACGAAATTTAAAAAGTATGAAATATTTATTCTCATTTTCATAATTCCTATCTAAAGAGACCATCTGTTTCTCTGTCCAGAGACTCATATGCATGCACTTCTTCTGGGTGGTACAAAGAAGTATTAAAAATTACTTTTAGCTAAATGAGGGAGGTGAATACCCCTCAGATGCTTGCACCTCTGGGAAGCTGTGTTTTCATATCCATTTATTTAATGTTAACTTTACTAAAAAGCATCCTAAAGTTACATTACAGTAAATTCATCAATTCCATTGTACAAAAGATCCAGAAGAGTATAAAACATACCCATACATAAAGATTAAGAAATAATTGAATGGATAAAGGAAACAGAGGTGGCAACTTGCTTCAAAATACAAATAAGTAAAACAAATTCTTACTGACATTGATATTAGTACACAGTGGAAAATCATTAACTGTTTTGATTAGTATGAAAATAACTTAATCAGATTAATAATAAGATTTCAGAAGGAAATAACTTCAAATTAAAGTCAAGATTTCTTGGTTTTATTTTCAACTACATTTATTTTGAGATACAGAGGTTTTAAAATCTGGTTTACCATCCGAAGTGTAAGTTACCACTTTCAATCAACAACATTAACAGTGTTTCTCAAAAAGAACACATGGCCTTTGATTAAATTAAAACTACATATAAACCATATTCAACTTCTAAATTTTGGTTCTGAGTCCATTTGGGGTTAAAAATGCTCAGCATTTTAGCCTGAAGGGCTGGATCCAAAGAAATATAAATACATGTTCTAGGATTTTATGAATCTATTAAGCCTAGCCTGAAGAAAAAACAGATTATATCCCCCAAATAGCATATTTGCTAATTGTTTTATGTAGGTAAATATTTTCTCAGATCTGCATGCTATGACACTTTTTTCTAAGATGTCTATTATCTAGATAAATATTTTGATAAATATTTAATACTGAACAAGACCTCTGCAAAGATTTAATTCACTACTTTAGTAACACCTTTTTCTCTTAGGAAGAGTCTACAGAGTAATGAATATTTGCAAAGAAGAGCAGATATTTTGAGATGGTTTATTCAATTTTCAAAATATTTTCTCCAGATGCTTTCTGGGAAATACTTATTCTATTTGGTAGAAAGATGCAATCTGCTGCTCTGTGACCAATTATTAGAGTAGTATTTTTCATGAGGATGACATTCAAGGGGCCATTTTCTGAGGAAAATGGCAAGACGAGGCAGGAAATGTTCCTTCTGATATCAGACAGTTGGTGTTTCATCTCCCAGCTTTGGCATTTATTTAATGTCGAATCACCAGATCAATGTCAGGTTGGTTGCAGCTAAATTGGCTGAAGCAGAGACAGTCATTAAAGGGATGCATTCCATAAAGAGAAATCCAATTACCTTTTGCATTAGAGAAATCAAATTCATTTTCTGGTTTGGTCAAGGACAGTCACTGTGGAAAACGGCTCACAGTAGAAAAGCACTCAACACTGGCGTAGTGCAAATAAGTTTTAGACAGGAACATCAAAAACTCATTGCAGCTGTTAGAATGTTGTTTTTTAGAAAAAAAAATACACATTTTAATGTAATTTGCACAACTTACTAGAAGGAGATGCATGATTTTGTATTTTTTCTCTCTCTTTGTATTTATCAATGCAATTGATGGCCAGCTAAGATTTCTCTCTATTTTACTGGACTACATTTGAAAACACGGCTGATACTTACGAATAAAAAATAATTGACCACTTCAGTAATTCTCTGTATGCATGCATGCTACATAATCAAGACAAAATAGGGGAAAGCCACTTACAATGTCATTAAGTAATGTATTCTTTTAACTAAGAGATGCAATATATTTTAATAAATTAATTACACTGCTTCAATTCAGAAAGGAATGGCCCTTACATATAATGACTGCATACTTTTTGATTTTAGTTAATGTCTCATGAGAGAAATGGTTACACTGTATTAAATTGCAGAACAAAAACTGCATAATACACATTGTCTGACTTTTTAAGTTACACAAATGCCACAGCAATATATTTTCATTACAAATTAGCATGTCTTGCATATGTTATGGAACCTTAAATTTCACTTTGCCCTATAAAATTATGACTTCATTAACTATTTGTATTATTCACATTAACTATGAAGATAAATTATAATGCTTTTGAAAAGGAATATTACTATCATTAAATTAATAGGAGAATGTTATGATTCCCATTTTTATTACAGAAAAGTAATGTGTTCCTTTTGGTATGATATACTACAATAATTTGCAACATGATGTTGTATCACATAGAATATTGAACCAAGGATTCAGAGTCATATTCAGAGCAAGTAACTTACACAGACAACAGATGCAGAAAGCAAAATCACAAAAACTTAAAAAAAAAACCCAACAAAACAGTAAGTAAACCTAAGATACCTGGGAAAAACTAAGTCAAGCAGCAAGACATCTTAAGCATCATTTATTCCTTCCATGTAGTTGCTCTTTGAGCCTACTGCTCAGGATGCTCTGCACATAGTTTAGATCTCTCCTCCCTAGACAGTCATGTCAAATGGTGCTACGCTGGACATCACAGGATTCCTCCCAGCAGAGGCAACGTCTGCAGCAGGAGTTTCAGGTATGACTAAGTGTCTTTCCTATTAATAAGCTAACTGCAAGTGAAACTTTTTTTTTTAAAATATAAGAAAATTACCTAATAGCTTAGTCATGCTTTCAAAATACCTTCCTAGTTCTTCACTAGCAGGAACTATACTGACATCTTCAGAATGCAAACAGATCATTCTTGAAAAACTAACGTGGCATGGGCTGCTGGCCAAGCTGTTTTCATCGGCCAAATTGCATTTTAGAAACATGGAATTATAAAAGTACATCAAATAGTTTCATAGCAGCACTTCTCAACAATAAGCAACTTGAGAAACTGTATCTTGAAAGAGAAATGGACTCTGGACAAGCTCTGTAGGACATGATGTATTTCATGCCGTAACATTCATGAAGGGGAGACCACACCTCAGTAGGGTTTTTTTGCTGCTTTATTCACACTTGGGATAAACCACCAAAACAGGGTAAGAGCAGCCCTCCAGTATTTAACAGAATGCAGAAGAAGCCAAGATCCACAAGAAAAGCCTGGAAATATGCACCAAATTATGAACTCTGAAATATTTTTTTATTATTTTGATACAGTAATGAGCAGTGAAAGTTCTAATGGACATTAGGACTCCAACATCTTACATTAGTAAAGAAGGAAGTTGTTTGTAGGCAACTACACAGCTAGGAGGACAGACACCATGGTGCTAATGCTGGGAAATGGAAATGTAGGTACACTGTCAAGTACATGACTCAAGTATTGTAAGTGTTAACTTTTTCTATATTTTTTATCATTTTACAAATTCAAAATATTTTAAATCATAAACCCCTTCATAAGTAGACTATATTAATTTAATTTGAAACTCAGTCTTTAAATACTTCAGAAATAGCAAGTTTCCACTCTCCCAAAACTCTTTACACAGGAAACGTTATTTTCAGTCCTGCAACTGAGGTATTTAATGATAAAAATGAGGAATTCCATTGATAAGAATGAGTATCATAAATTATAAAAGTTTTCAGAAATTTTAAGGATGCCATAGTGTCGGCACAGGTCCGAGGGCAGTTTCCCAGGGCAGGTGCATGCACGTTGCTTGGTTTCATGCAGGACAAAGCCCCTCATCAAAAGAACCCATCCAACCTTTTGCAAAGACTCAACAGCACTTAAGTGTTTCTGAAAAGTATGTGATTTTTCTAGACAGTGGGGTTAAATCAGGTTAAAGTAATTAAATTTGCTGAAGTCAGAGTGTGAAGTCAATGAGAGCTAATGTATACCACTGAGTGCATACACTCCCTTTGCTTTGCTGTTATGTGCCTTTAGGTAAGAGCTATATATAGGTGACCCACTAACTACACATCAATTCTTTATCATATCTCAGTCTTCAGGTACTATAGCACATCATGGTAATCATATACCAAACCAGGGAAACATTCAGTATTCAGTCCTTAAAAGCTTCTATCTATCAACTTTGCCTTCATCTTCTTTGAGATATTTAAAAACTGCAGAGCTGTTCATTTGATGTACAGAAATAACCTATATAGAAAATGCTTTTATGGTTCTTTCATCTGGATGTTAGGGAGAAAACTGTTCTGTGGATCACACCTCAACCCTTTCATGGCTTCACGATGATAACACGAAATGCCTGCATTAATTATGAAATTGTTTTGGCAGTTGGGCGGAAGTGTCGAAAACTTTTTTACACATCCTTCAGAAGGAATTGTTAATTTGTTTTAATGTACTCTGGTGCATTTTGGAATATACAAAATGTGTACATGTTTGAAAACAAACATAGCAAACATTTGTACTTAGGCTTACTGATCTATAACGGGGATGATATTTTTCAAGCTAAATATTAACAGTCAGCTGCAAAAAAATGGCTAGAT